CTGTGGATCAGGCGAAGGGGCGCGGTACTCGTGGAAGCCCGCTGGTTCTTAGCAGCATATCACTGTGCCTGCAGGGATTAAGCAAAAGAACATCTAGGTTTGACTATTGGCTGAATGACAGTCTGATATTTTGCTGGTGGGACTAGAATAAGAGATGCCAGCTAGACCAGAAGGCCTTGAGCAGACTCTATTGTGAGTAGCAATCCAGTCTGGGGCTCGTGGGGCTGAGCTCCCTTAATGGAAGCTAGAGGTGGATCAGGGTGTTTACTCCACCCCAGGGGTCGCTGCCTCTCCGTGAACTAAGATGTCTGATTAATATAGCAGACTCCTGGATGAAAGGGGCTGTGTATAAATAGTGACCTCCCTGCCACCTCCCTCTCTTGTTCATCTAACTTTAATACCTTCCAAATACTGAGGCAGGGGCTTAAGTGGGCTTAGCTGCAGGTAGCTCCTGCAGTCTGCGTGCTTCATGGTCCTGCCAATTACCTTGTAATCCCTGGGTTTAGTTTGTGTCTCACCTTCTGACGCACTAATCCACCCAGCAACTCCATTGTTTTGGAGTTTGAAAAGGAGGGGGGCTTGTGGCAGTCCCCAACTAGGGGAATGTCCCATCTGAGCTGCCTGCCTCCCTCTCACTTAACTTCCAGGGCGTAGCTGGAATGGAGCCTGTGCCATTCCACTTCCTGTCCCCCCACCCCACCCCCCAGCTGTGTGCGCTTGGGACACATCAGTCCAGCTCAGACTGTCAGGGTGTATGAGCCCCCGCTCTAGACAGGTGATTGGAGGGACAGATCGAGTGAGTCTGCGGCAGTCCTGGCCACAGAACCCCAGGGCCCGTCTTTTAACCAGAATGCTCTGCGGTGGTAATGGAGCTCTTGGGATGGGCAGAACTATGCGTACATCACAGCTACAGCCTCACGGCACCGCTGAGACATGGAAGCATTGCCCTCATTGTGGAGGGGGTGAACTGAGGCATAGAGTGGCCAATTTGCCCAAGGTCTCTCAGGCTACAGGTCTGCCATGTCCCAGGCCTTAACCTCAAGCCTGAGTACGGAGGAATAAACCCCTTATTTTGCCTTCTTACAAATTGTCTTTTGCTCCCTTAAATGTGCTAGGTAATCAGAAGGGATGAATTAGGCCAGGACCCAGGCTGGAAACACTTGGATTCTTGGAACCACCAGTTCCAACCCCCCAGGGTCATCTCCAGACCTTAATCCTTCTGATTTGGCTAAATGGAGCTGACAGGATGAGGATTAATCAAGTCCTGTCTGAGCTTCCTAATGCCCCTGGCACTTTATCAGGAGTAGCTTCTCCTGATGTCATTGGCTAACCCTGTCTCATCAGTTAGTTGTACTTCCCTCTTACCCCCCACCCCAGAGATGGCTGCATGCAACTGAGGCTGCACACATGTAGATGTGCAGTACTTGGAGAGGAAAAGAGCTCTGTAAAGGCCCGTGTGGGGTGCAGGTAAAGGGGGAAGGAGGATGGTGGCTTTGGGGAGAACCTTGGAAGAGGTAACCTGGCTTTCCAGGTCTGTGGCTTCTCCGCTCGGTCGCTCTGTGACTAAGTCAAGCCATGGGGAGATGGTGGTTGAATGGGAAGCTGTTATCCGGAGTCTAGGATGCAGCAGGCCTTGGAAGGCCATTCCCATTTTACTATCTATTCCACAGCAGCCTCTCTTGTGCACTGCAGGACCCTATAGACCCCAACAGACCAGGCATTGGACATACAGTCCCTGCCCCCAAAGAACTTAGTCTAAACAATGTGGGGGGAGGAAAATGGGAGATCACGTCACCTTTCTCTGGCTTAAAGTTCTCCAGCAGATTAGTAGCAGAGTTAGGAAGGGAGCCCCAGTCCAGAGCCCTCCCCATTAGGCCACACTACTTCCCAGCACCCTGGAAAGTTTCCTGGTCTCGTGCATTCAAGGGGAAGCTGCATTCCTTAGTGCTACTTGACCTGATGGCTATGCCTGAAGGTTCAGTTGGGTGGGGTCAACAGTCCATCCGGCCCCCTTCTCCCCCTGGAGAAGTAACTGCCTTATGGAGTTAAGGAAATGCCACTCTGCAGCCCCTTCAGTGTGCACTGTGTGCGCTCTGGCTGCAGGCCTGGCCATCTCCAGGGGGATTCTTTTCCAGGCATCAGCTAAGCGGGCATGGGGGTGAGTCACCATTTTAATAGGAAACCTCTAGGATGCTGCAGGCCAGGCTCTGACTCCAGAAAGTGGCAGTGTTTTTTCTGCACTGGTACCGTCAGTGCCCTGGCACCATGCCACGAGCTGCTCCATGGGCTGTGCTCTTCGGGTGAGACTGAAACTAGAGTCTGCTGGCTTCGTCCAGGCTATTCTGAGGCGTTAAAATTGAGCCAGGACACTGGTTTATAGCTGAATGACTGCACACCGGGGGATGGCACTGCTTTGGGTGGGTCAGGAAGCCTTTGTGTCCTGGTCCAATCTGTCCTGCAGTGCATGGCATCCTGGCACAGCTGCCGCACGCCAGTGCTGGGGAAAGTGACTGACTATAAAGAGAAGGAATTGGTGAGTTTAATGTGAGGGCACCAAGTGCTGTAGCACTGAGAAATCTCTCTTGTAGCTAATTGCTGCAGCTCTCCAGTCAAACAAGGAAACTGCATTAGCCTCTCTGGACGCTTACGGGTAACTCTTTCTCTGCTCCTCTTCCTACCTTGCCCAGGGAGCTGCTGAGACCTGACGCGCCATCTCTAACTGCAAAACTGGGTTGGGGTGGGGGGGATGTAATGGAAGCCCATCTGAGGGGATGGGGAGTTGAGGGGGGCAGGGGGAGGGACTGGAAATGGGATCTAGAGCCATTCACCCAACAGCTGCTTTGGCATCTGGGCTAGATGTAGTGACTACACACAGTCAACCTGTGGAACTCCTTGCCTGAGGAGGTTGTGAAGGCTAGCACTATAACAGGGTTTAAAAGAGAACTGGATGAATTCATGGATAAATCCATTAATGGCTATTAGCCAGGATGGGTAAGGAATGGTGTCCCTCGCCTCTGTTTGTTTGTCAGAGGGTGGAGGTGGATGGCAGGAGAGAGATCACTAGATCATTACCTGTTAGGTTCACTCCCTCTGGGGCACCTGGCATTGGCCACTGTTGGCAGACCAGATACTGGGCTGGCTGGACCTTTGGTCTGACCCAGTGTGGCCGTTCTTATGACTTAAAGCTATTCACCATCCGATGGCTGTTTGGTTGTCAGCGTGAGGCACACTGCTGATCTCCACTCTGTTCCTAGTCTGCCAATACAGGAGACAGCAGTGGTGGGGTTGGTTGACAGATTCCATAGACCTAAACTATGGGTGCCAGTGAGGGCAGAGACTACAGCTGCATAAAGAAGTGAACAGAAGCAGGGAATCCATCCTGCTACTTATAGGTCCTGATCTGTTCCCCTAGCCTGGCTGGGTGCTGGAAGTGGGTGAAAACGTCTAAGCCTGAGGTTTCACAATGACTGTATTTGCCCAAAGGTGTCCAGGAAACATGTTCATGATTTATCTCCCTGCCAATGACAGACACCATGAAGAGCTAGGTGCAAAGGTCTGAAGTGAACAGCTTTCTGAAATATTTGTAGAGTATTTGCCAGTGGTTTATGCAAACTGGGATCAATCCATGAACAACATAAAGAGCTAAACTCCCAGTTAACACTGTAAACAACAAATAATTTGACCAACATGCTAATCAAATAGCTGGGAAAAGCTTGCTCCATAGAAAGAACATCTGGGTCTCCAAGGCTCTGTTGGTTCCTTTCAACAACACACAATTGACTTAGTTTCTTTAGCATGGGTCTGCCACTCATGGCTTGCCCAACAATCAAATTAAGCACTCCTTGCCCAGTACTTACATACTCATGTATCTGACTGTCTTACACTTACATTATCACACGCTGCTGAGAGATGCTGTCTTGTGTTCACATAGAACTTCAGACGTTTTAAATGGTAGCCATGTTTTAGCTTGGTTTGGTCGCTAAGCGGGTGCTTATGTCAAAACTGTCCACAGTCAAGTCTAACTGATTTCTGATCAACAGAAACCTGGTTAAAATCAGACACTAGAACTAATCAAACTGAAACCATAGGCTAAACTTTTCTAAAGGAAACACTAAACTTCAGGCTCATGCACTATTTGTATAGTCTATACAGCAAGGAAATTAATGAAATGGTACTTCTAGCTAGTAGAAGATGCTATCTACCCTCTGCACAGCTGAATGGGGTTGTACTTCAGCATTTGTGACTCTCTACTTCAAAAAGTGACTCTGTAAATGGCATTGTTTACTCTAGAGTTCCAGATCATGGGTGACTGCACAAGAGGGAGATGGTGCTTTTTGAATTGCCAGTGTTGCAAACCCTTGTGGGATCTAACCATCCAGCTGGCATTTGCCTCTCATGCACCGTCACAAATGTTCTGGAAGTCCTGCTCCTGGGGACACCTGTGCAAGCCTGCTGAAGGCAGAGGTTGCACGAGTGTAACTGATTGGAACTCGGTGAACGATGCTCATGCACAAGGGAGAATAGAATCAAGTTGGCTTGCTGTTCCTTAGCTGGGCAGGTTCTGCAGAGGGTTGTGAAACATTATCCATGCCTTATTGCTAAAGGGATTGGCTGTGACTGGATATGAATGGGGCTGGATCTCTTGAATGAGAAGGGGACAGCTTGGCATAGTCACTCTCCAGAGTAGAATAGCACTTGAGACAGGCTTTTGGGGTGGGAGGAGGTGTCCGTTAGCTAGACTTCAGTCTCCCCCACCTCCCTGGAGCTGGTGCATGGGAACCAGAAAACAAAACTGCCACTCAAAGGCTACAGTGACGTGCAGACCCCCATGACTAGTGAAAAGTAAATCTGGGTTGTAACGCTTTAATCCAAGGCTATAGCTCCAAGTCCTTACCTCCCTGCCGGCTCCGCAGGCTTAACCCTGCTGTGTCATTGGGTGGAGTAGGGGAGTCCTGGAGCAAGTGTGAGACTCAATGTCTCTCCTTCTGATCTCTCCCCAGATGGTTCTCGGAATGCCTCCAGCACTTCCACCCCTAGTGGTGCCTCTTCACCCCTCTCCGCCCTGACTCCGCTGCAGGTCTCCCCGACAGCAGCCCCCGATTGTACAAGCCCTGCTGCCATGGACCCCACCCTCTGCAGCCCAGGAGCCCTGGCCTTCCTGCCAGCCAAGAAAGAGGACAGGCCCCAGCCAGAAGGAGCCAGCTGCGACACGGCTGTTGGAAGCTCCCCCGCTGGACTGGCTGCACTGAGCGAGTGTGGCCAGGTCCTGCTGGAAACTCCTCCCAAAGCTTGTGCAGCCCCCAAAGGCTTCCAGGAAGCACTGAGTGTGGATATGCTGGACACCAGGATCGTGATGGGGGAGGAGACCCAATGCAGCCGTGACGAGACGGACGCAGGGGTGGAGCCGCACAGCTCTCTGCTGGACACCAAGGCTCCTGTGTCTGAGGCAGCCGGCGCTGAAAGCCTCGTGGCCGATGCTGGAGAGAAGTCGAGTGAGGAGGAAAATCAGATCCTAGAGAGCAGCTCCGAGGCTGCTGGGAAACTCTCTGCCCAGGCCACACCAGGGGAATCTCCCTGCCCGAAACCCAGAGACAACAGGCAAGTGTCTCTCTATAGTCCTCCTTGTCCGCTACCTTGGGAGCCCGAAGAGCCGAGCGTGACGCTAAAGGAGAAGTTATTTTCTCAGGGTGAAACCATGGCTGATGTGCCTTCCCCATCTCCTGTACCTGCCAAAGACCCCCCTGATGAGCTGGCCGAGGCAGGGCACTTGCAACCCCCACAGGTCAAACCAGTCCTGGATCCAGACCTGTACTTCACAGCCCCGTCAACACCCATCAAAACAGTCTACTCCCACCTCAAGCACCTCCCCTACACCAAGGACAGCCTGAGCGAGGAGCAGAGCGATATGGACAACGAAGGGCTGTGCTCCCCGCCCACCTCTCCATCGGGATCCTACATCACCGCCGAGGGAGGCAGCTGGGCCTCCTCAGGCACCTCCAGCACATCCCCGTCTTGTTCTCCCAACCTGATCGCTGAGTCGGAGACCACAGACGCCCCAACTGCTTATGGGGAATCCCTGTCAGAGCTGGAGCTTTCTGAGGAGCCGGCTCGATATGCCAGGAGCTCCTGTCTGTCTCCTGAGCAGCTGGAGGAGGAGGAAGATGACCTGTCTTTGGACAGACTCTCCTCTGGAAACACAGCTCTGCCTTCAGTGCCGGCAGAGGAGGAAGGGGATGGTCAGACCACACCAGAAGAGTGGGACTCTGAAATTGCTACCTCTGTTGCATGGGTCCCTCACACCACAGAACTGGAGGATCCAGGTGAGCTGCTGCCAGGTCATGAGAAGGACCTGCCCCAGCCAGGAGGAGACTCTGGGGATGAAACCGAGCCACTGCAAAGCACTGTGGCCAGGCAGCTCCTTAAGGTGGATGTCTTCACCTCTAACCCAGCTGGTGCCAACCTGGGGCCCATGGATGCAGCAAAAGAGCCTCTGGAGTCCAGCCTGTTGTCCTTTTCCCCCATCCCCTTGCCAGGCCTCCAGTCAGAGTCCAGCAGCGTGTCTGGGGCGAGCTGCTCATCGGATGCAGAGACACCCAGCAGCCTGCAGGCTGAGACCACCGGCTCCTCGGCAGAGCTCCCGTCAGACTTCACAGACAATGACCAGATGATCCCTGCCACACTGCTGCCCTTTCAGGGGAGCCTGATCTTTGAGGCCGAGTCACTGGAGATAACACTCTTCCCCCAGGGGGAGTCCGTGGAGAACGATGTCGTCTACGGGGCAGAGGAAGACGACAGCACCTCCGCCTCCTTCCTGCACTCTCTGTCGGAGAACTCCATCAATGAGGGCGTGGATGAGTCCTTTGCCTACCAAGACGACACTTCCCAGTCCTCCGACTCTGCCTCCTACAATGGCGAGGCAGATGAGCGGCTGTACAGCACCGAGCAATATGCCGTGGTGACCCCCTCAGCTCAGGAAGGGGAGAAGCCAGCTGTGGAGGACTCTGAGCCTGGGGCCTCCCGCTCAGGCAGTGAGAGCGAGATGGAGACGTCATCAGATGCCTCTGACACCGATGAGGAATACGCGGCTTTCTCGGCTCTGGACATGGAGCTGGGCGCAGTCCCCCACACAGAGGTGGAGGTCGGGTTTGAGCCAGAGGGCAACGTGGATCACCAGGATGAGCTGGAGGGAACCATGGAGGAGGAAGAAGGGGAGGCAGAAGAGCAGCAGCCACCAGCCCAAAGCGAGGGGATGCCGAAATCGGAGGCACTCGCCGAACCCAAGGCAGTGCCGGTGGATGAACACAGCGACTCTGAAGACAGTCCAGGAAGCAGCAGTGTCTCGGCCGCAGGCCACAGCTGGAGCCCCTCTCTGAAACCAGACAGCACAACATCATCCGGGGAATCTGCTCCACGAGCCGAATCTGACCAGGCAGATGACTCTCCGGGGAATACTGGCTCCTCCTCGGAGAGCTCCCTAGAGCACCAGTCCTCACTGTCAGACATGCAGGAGGCCCTGGAGAAAGGGCTCCCCAGTTCAGGAGAGTGCCTGATTGCCTGCTTTGATACAGACGAGGAGACTGAGGCCTTCCCTGGGCTGGAGGTAGTCTTGGAGAACACAGAGCCAATAAGCCAGTCGGCTACTGCTGAAGTGTGTGGGGCACCATGGAGAGGCGGGGATGGAAGGGGATCCGTGATACCCTTGCCATGGAAACAGAAGCCAGCTCCCACCGAGCTCGCTGAGCCTACTGCCAGGAAAGCCAGTGATGCCTCTATGTTTGAGATAGGCACCAAGCTGAAGGAGTCTGAAGCACATCTCCTGGAGCTCCTAGACCAGGACAGCCCTCCTCTGGGAGGGAGGATGGAAGGTCACTTTGAGGCCCAACTGGGAGCCTCTGACACCAGCTTGGAACAGCCTGAAGTGGCCAGAGCTGACAGTGAGCCAGCAGGAGAGTGCTTGATTGCCTGCTTCTCCTCCTCTGAGGAGGATCTGGAGGAAGCCTCCTCTCTCGATCAAGTCAATAACAATGAGGAACAAGGGGAGCTGTTCTTGGAAGCCAACCTGGATTCCCTGCCACCTCTGGGACAAAATGACATGCAGCCAAACGTGCTCACGGAAACAGCCAGCCACAACGAGCCCATGTTGGCTGTGGTGGCGGATCAGCAACAGGAGCCCCCTCTCCCGCCTGGGGATGCTGAGTCCCGGAGCCTGGACCTCCACGCAATGCAGAAAGGCCTGCAGGAACTCCAGAGGAGGCTGGATGGGAGCAGCCAGCTCTTCAGGCAGCAGGAGTGTGGGGAGCTGGACATGAGCTCAGAGTCTGAGATAGAGACCTATGTGAAAAGGTACTTCAGCACAACAGAGTTCTCACTGCTCCCTCAGGCCATAGCAGCTCCAGAGAGCACTGAACCAACCGGGGGGCAAGAAGCCCTAGGCAAGGAGCTGGCCCTGGCAAACAGCAGCATCCCGGAGCCAGCCTGGCTATGCTCAGGGACAGGAGAGACCAAAGACTCCAACTCAAGAGAACCTCAACTGGACAAGAGCACCCCTGCCTCTCCTGGCAGCTGGATGCCAGCAGAAATGAACAGCAGAACAGACCAGAATCAAGAGGAGCTCGGGGCAAGCACAGAGAAGCGGCTCACCACTGAGGCTGCAGAATCTGACTTGGAATCCAAGTTTGGTGCCTCGCCTGTCACTGCGATGGAAGAGACCCAGCCAAAGGCGGCTGCTCAGGCACTGGAGAGCCTGGGAGAACCTGTGGAAATGGTAACTCCAACTCCCCATTCAGGCACAGTCAACCATGACTTGCAGACCAGAGCTGCTGAGGAAGCCACCGATGCATCTGTATCAGGAAGTGAGGCATACAGCCAAACAGATTCTGTCTCGGCTCTGGTTTGCCCCCTAGGAGACCAACTTGAAATGGTATCTCCCACTGTAGCTGCTCCGGGCCAAACCCTGCCCAAACCAGGGGCTCAAGTGTTCCAGGCCCCACATGTCTGCAGCTTGGATCCAGATGTGCCTGAGTTGAGGGACAGCAACATGAATCTACTGAAAACAGCTGGCTCAGAGTCTCCCTGGGAGCCTGAGTGTGGTGCTGAAGAGGATCAAGACTGGTCTGTGTCAACAAGCTGCAGCGAGAATGTCGTGCTCAAGGGGGGAATGGAGAACACTGATGCAGAAGAAACAACCAAGAAAACTGGAGACCAGCCCAGCCACAACAAGCTGCCTGGTGGGAAGGGGACCTCTAACCAAGAGGAGTGGGTGGATAGCACCCAGCTTTCTCAGGAAGCAAAGGCTGCTGCAAAAGATGAGCCAGCCACTCCGCAGCAGAGCGAGAGACTCGGCAACATGCCGGAAGAGGAAGCACTTGGCTCTGAGGCTACATCCGAAGAAGGGGTCTGCCTCAACGACGAGGAGAGGGAGGCCGAGGCTCAGCCCGAAGAGAGTTGGCCAGAAACTCCCCCGCCCAAAGGAGAGAGGGAGGTGGAGCTGGCAGAGAGTGTGGAGGCAACTTCCGAAGGCAGCTCTTCCGCAGTCAGCGATGACCTGCCCAGTGGAGACTCGCTGGAAGGCAGACGAACACCAAGCTGTGCAGCAATTGGTCTTGATGACAAGACAACCACTGCAGACTCTACATGGGAGGAACTCGACAAGGCCGCTTCCTCCAGAGGATCCTCCCCAGAGCCACCGGACACTGCACAGTCCTTCATGCACACGGATTCCAGCTTCTTCATGCTCTCTGAGGAGAGCACAGGAGAGATCACCAGGCTGGTTGAGCCAAAATCCTCTGGGGCACAGAGAGAACTGGATGCTCCCGACCAAGCGGCGAGCCAGTTGACAGAGCAGCAAGAGGGTGACATTCCAACGGAGCTGAAGGAAGCAGTCCTACAACCAGAATATCGCCACATGGGCATCTGCAGCAGAGACTCTCCATCACTGCTTGTGCACAGCCCCTCAGGGGTCTCTTCAGCTGAGCACAGCCTGGCCCCAGAGTCCCCTGAGCACAGTCTGGCTCTGTGTTTGCACTATTCCTCCCTGCAAGAAGCTCCACATTCCACTCGCTCAGAGCGCACCAGACTAAGAGCCGACATGCTGGTGCCTAGCAATCAGCTGCTGCTCTTCATTGCTTCTGAGGAGGAGATCTACATAGGCGAGCCTGCTGTTCCTGGCCAGCCCCCCGCAGAGGCTGGGGACAGCTGTCCCAGCGCAAGCCTGGAAGCGGAGGGTCCTGCTGAATATTCAGGGCCAACAAAAACAGGCCCTGACTCGATGGAATCCAAAGCCATTGTTGCAGAGAGCCTGTCGGTCAGCCTTGAATTGCTTGAGCCATCTGGTGCCTTGGTGGAGAACCCTGCTGACCCACCAGCAGCATCTCTCGAACGGCAGCAAATCACCGCCATGTTACAAGGCTCCTTCGGGAACCTCCAGGCCTCCCAGCTCAAAGTGGGGCCTCTTTGTCCTGCAAGCAGCCAGATGGTGACAGAAGCACAAAGTGTCCTTGCCAGCCTCAAGGAGAGGGTCTTGGAGTGCCCCTCGGGAGAGGCCACCCCAGACTCCTTGGAGGCCAGCGAAGCACAAGAGGGGGTGGCCGAAGCTCGGCCTGAACCTGAAATGCCCACTCTCGAACTCACCACTGCCACCACCTCTCCTCAGCCCAGTGAGGACCAGGGTGCTCAGCAGCCCTCTGAGGCAGAGAGCGCTTCAGAACAAGCGCAACTGGAGAGCATCTGTGAGATGCTGCTTGCCGCGGAGGTGATGCCCAGCCCTGTACGACTCGCTTCCTCTGTGGGCAGCAGCGAGTCAGTGACCCCTGTGCTAGAGGAACAGGAGCTCTCAGCAGAGGAAGACTCCGGCCTGCATAGTGAAGGGCCCTTGGAGGAAGAGGCAGTCCAGGCTTCCTCTGGAACTCATGCCAAAGACCAGGACCAGAGGTCACTGAGCCTGGAGGAGCCTGCAGAGCTGGGGATCTTGCCCAGGGAGGAAGAGCCCTGGGAGAGCCCCAGGGAGGCAGGTGTAGATGTTGCCATGCCAGAGGCCAGCCAAGCAGGACACCTGCAGAGTCCACAGCATCCAGCAGACGAGGGTAATCGGCAAAGCCAAATCCCACTGGAAGATACCGAAAGCAGCAGAGAGAATGAGACACTTCCAACTACAGAAGCAACCAGTCCATTGATACTCAGTTCTTCTCCTTCTCCTGAGTCCTCAGCAGCTTCCCTGGCTAGTGATTCCCAGCCTCCCAAGTCGTCTCCACCGGAGCCTTGCCCCATCCCTCTGGCAGCTCCCCTCCAGCCAGGTTGGCCTGCCTCTCCTGAAGCAGCTGTGGAGGCTGCGCCTTCCCCTCCTCCTTGCTCTGACTTCATAGAAGTGCCTCCTGCTTTATCCTTCCCACCACCTTGCTCAGAGGATCCTGTCCAAGGCCAAAAAGACACCTCAGGACTCCCCGCATCTGAAGCGCTCTCCGTTGCCGAGGACGCTCAGGCTGAAGACCAGCCATCTCTCCTGCTGGATTCCAGGAAATACTTAGAAGGTAATATCCCTTCTTCCCCCTCCTGCTCCCTGTATTAGGGGATGGAACATCTGCCAGGAATGACGTGGTGCCCAGGTCAGGGAGGGTAGAAGGCAGGTGCTTCTCTAACCCTCTCCCTTATAGAACAGGCTAATATCCGCGTAGGCTTAGTGGACCTAGTGCCAGTGGTCTTGGTGGGCACTCCGAGGATAGGCTTCTCCAACATGAACATACTCCAGCATATCTGGCCTAGTCCTATGGAGATTTCAGAATACGCTTAGTCTGTATTTGCAAAAAGGAAAAGTACTCTTCCGATGAAGTGAGCTGTAGCTCACAAAAGCTTATGCTCAAATTTGTTAGTCTCTAAGGTGCCACAAGTACTCCTTTCCTATGGAGATGTTTCTCTAAAGCACATGGCATCAGACCTGCTCCCTTGGGAAAGCATCACTGAGTCAGAAGAGCAGGGAGAAGCTTGCAGTGCATTTGACCAAACGTACAGCTCCTGGGGGCTGAACAAGAGCTTTCCAGCTTCCCTTGTTGCCAGCCCTTAACCTTCACCCATTCCTCAACATGCCTAAACCCAAACCCTGGCCATGGGGCAAGTGTGAAGGCCCCCAGTTCTGCTTGGGTGTGGCTCATGCAATGCCTCTCAGGTTCTTGCCCAAGTCCTGTGTTTTGGACTTGGGATTCCCATTCCTCTCTTGAGCAGGCTAGACTTGCATCCTGTAAACTTCATGTGAGCCAGGAACCACCTACCCCAAGGTAGGCATGATGCAGTGGTGGGAATGGTTAGCACACTACTACCTCAAATGTCTCACACACAGACGGCTCAGCAGATAGCATCCTTCCCTCCAAGTTGGTACTGAATCAGCATCCATCCAAAGCACAGGGGAAGGGGCTTGCCCTGCTGTTGGTTGCCCCTAACTGATGCTCCTCAAGACCTCAATGTCCTGACTTCTTTGGGCCACGAAGGATCTCATGACGCTCCTTGCAAGAGTAGGTGATGGGTTAGCCAAGCTCCAATTGAATTAATCTGCAGCTTCAGTTGGGAGAGTGTCCTTGACACACTCTCATACTGGTGCTAGTAGACACCTCATTCCACCCCAGAGAGAACTGCATTTCTGGCTATGGTGAGGGAACAGTCTCAAGTATGCGTTGCAAAGGTCACTGGCTCTTGGACTGGGAGGAAGCTTCTCTCAAACAGAAACAGCTGCATTCCTCATCCAGGGAGTCCCAGACCCTGAGGCTCTTATCTCCTGCCCCGACCATGTCCCCTCTGCCATGTCGGTGACCTCTGCAAATCTCTGAACTCTGTTAAAGTGCTGGGTGATGCCGGCATCTCCCAAAGGTGGCAGCCCTTTCAGCTTAGCCTCTTGGCAGGCAGCCCTGCTCTGCTAAAAATTAACTAGGCCACTGCATGGTGGAACAGCTGGAATTATTAGCTAGTTAATCACTGCTCTTGAAGCCTTCCCAAGGGGGCAGATCTGGCTGTCCTCCCAGCTGGATGACCATGCCATGCGTTGCAGGAAAAGTTACACTTAGTCTCTGGACAAAGGGCCAGATCTCCAGTTGCTGTTAACTGTCCTGTCTGATCTCCGTGGAGCTTTGCCACCTTGTCTACTCTTCAAACTGTCCGTGCAAGTCCCAGCTTGAGGGGCCATACCCTCGCTAGCCTGAGCAGTGCTAGTGGGCTTAACAAGTGTAGCTACGGCAGTGCGAGTCTTGCCCACACTCTAGGGCAGTGGTTCTCAACTGTGGGTCTGGGGCCCCTTGGGGAGCTGCGAGCAGATTTCAGGAGGCCCATCAAGCAGGGCCAGCATTAGACTCACTGCAGCCCAGGGCAGAAAGCTGAAGCCTCGCTGCATGGGGCTGAAGTCAGGGGTCCTCAGCCCCGCCACCTGGGGCTGAAGCCAAAGCCTGAGCAATGTAGCTTTACAGGGGGCCCTGTGGCATGGGGTCCCAGGCAGTTGTCCTGCTTGCTACCCCCTAACACTGGCCCTGGCTTTTATATGCAGAAAACCAGTTGTTACAGCACACACGGGCCGTGCAGTTTTTTATAGCATGTTAGCAGTGGGGGGGCCCTCAAGGAGCAGTTGAGAACCCCTGCTCTAGGACACCTCACCTTTACCTTTCCATGGGCTCAAGTGGAACCCGGTTAATTTAGGCCCGCCCCCCTGACGTAGTTCCTAGGGCTGGGAGTTTACAGGGCTTCTTATCAGTGAAGTGGCCTTACACAGTAATCTCCTTTACCTCTATTAACAGCTACCAAACAGAGTGCCCATGCTAAGCGCACAATGCTTCCCACTCCCAATAAAGCAGATGCGTTTTGGTGGCCAGTCAGGAGTGAGGCGGGAGGGAGTTCCTCCAGCTTCTTGCACAATATGGTTGGCAGGGTGTTGAGGTCTGGCAGCTCTGACCTTGGGTTGTGTCCTGGAGTTAGGTTCCAAAAAACTTCCTTTTGGACCCCAGTAGATATAGTTAACTTGAGTCCTGCTTAGCTCTACCTTAACCAAAGTCCTACCAAACAGTATCTTTCACCAATCACAGCCCATTACAAAGCAATTCTTTACCCAATCAGATCCCACCACCTTAGCTGACTTAAATCTTGCAAAATTAGTTATGCCATAGACCGAAACAATTCAAGAACCAGATAAACAATAGAGAAGTGGGGCCCAAAAAAGCAAAACAATGGAAGTAAATTTCCCACACACAGCTGTTAAGTGATTCCTTGCCTGACAGAATACTGTCAAACAAAGATCTTAAAATGTTTAAAGAAACTTTTCTTTAATTTGGTGATGCTGGGGTCTATTAGGACAGGATCTCCTTAACAGCCCAATATTTCATTGTTTTGATGCAATTTAGATGGAATGTGAGGATGTGACTCTCTGCTTCTTAGCCCAGGGCTGCTGCTGTCCTAATGTGGCTGCCGCTGCCTTACTAAAAGGCTTTGGACCTTACATGAGGGGTTAGTCAGCCCAAGTACATACCTAGTGTCTTGGATGGATCATCCTTGAGCTGGCTAGCCCCCATGGCTACATACTAGCTCAATGAGAGCACCATGGGTAGATCTCCTTGAGCAGGAATTCACACCACCTGCTTGAAGAGTGGACACATCCAGAGGGCTCTGGCCTGGATTCTCTTTGTAATGAGCTGGAAGGCTGGGTGGAGCAGGAGACTGGGAATAGGACCCCTGGGTTCCGGTCCCAGTGCTGCCACTGATGGGAGAAACATGTCCCTATGCAGCTGGCCCAGCAGTGGGTTCCACTGGGCCCTGCTCTGGAAACACTAATCTATGTTGGGGGTGGCAAGAACCCAGCCTAATGAAATTCCTCCTTCCACTGCAGCTCTGGAGAGCTCCACATCCCCAGTCCCATGCAGAGACCCCTTCCCCAGCGGCCAAGATTCCCGAGGGAGACCCCAGCTCCCGGGGAACAAAGATGCCAGAGGGAGGGGTTCCGCATCCGCAGAAGAGAGGCGAGCCCACCGCGGCTCCATCCAGTCAGAGTCAAGCTCTTCCAGTGAGAGTGAGCTGCCCTACCACTGCCCAGAGATTGAGAGCCTGCGGGAGGCAGCTGGCATGACACTGCTGGAGGACAAGCTGCCAGTGGGGCAGAGAAGCTGTGAAGTTAACCATAAAGGTACACGTGCTGTGGGTGGGAGGAAGGGGAAAGGCCTCCTCGCCTGGCCTGGCCTTCCCTCTGCTAGTTTGCCTGAGCCTGACTGCTCTTCTGCAGCAGGCCCGCTTCAGAGAGGCAGGTGTCTCAGCAGAACCTCTGGGGAAAGCACCCTACAAATCCTGGGGCAGAGCCTATGCTGGTCTCAGTGGAGCTCTCCTACCCTACTCCAGCCCCTGGCACTCGGGACTACTGTGTACCTGAGCCAGCCTCCAGGACTAACTGCCAGGCTACGGCCCAGGGATTGGGGCGGGGGAGGAAGGGGGCAGTGGACTATTGCTGGGAATGGCGCTTGCCCTAGGAGCTGGCTTGTGGATGCCCACAAAGCAGGAAGGCTGATACAATCCTTGTCACCAGGCCAAGTGGCAGAGCTGCAGTGGGCTCTTGTAATAGCTTCTGGATAGCATCTGACAGAGCTCTAATGGGTCTGCCTGCCCAGCGCGGCCTCCTGCGTTGCACAGCTCAGTGTGGGGGGGGGGGAGGCAGTCTCCAGCTGGAGCTGTTGCAGAGCAAACCCTTTTGAGTGCAGCTAACAAAGGAGAGCAGCTTGGCTGGCTGCGCTGCCCTACGGACCAGCTGCGCGGCAGGGCTTTCAGAGCTTTCCGTTTCCCCTCTTACGCAAACAGGCCCGTCCCATTTCCAGTGGGAACCAAAACACAACCGGGGGAGGGAACCATTGCTGGATTCAGAGCTCCTCGCCAGGCAATTCCCGGCACTGCCTCCGAGGCCCAGTGAAAACCCAGGTCTGCCTTAGCCTTGCATTGCTAGCCCTCCCTAGTCCCAAACCACGGGCTTGCTGTGTCTGGTCACCAAGGGCTCCCTGGGCCTGGTGCCTGTGCCGAGGATCCAATCTCTCTGCTCGGACCGTGGTGCTGTTAACCACTAAATACCTGGCGGTGGGTGGGGTTCTAGGCTGGCGGGCTCGATTTAGGATGGTGCAATATAAAGCAAACAAGGGTGGATGGGACTGCCTGTGTCCCTACCTAGCATGGGGCATGTGCCCATCCCACTCCATGCTGGGGGGTGGAAGCCTGCAGCCCCACGAAGGACACGACCAGGGCAGTAAGTGCCTGTAACCAAAAGCTGGGGCAGAGGCCAGTGTGGGTGGGAGGCTGCAACTCTGAGCAGTGGCTCCCATCCCGTCCCCCTCAGTGAAGAGGCTGGCAGCTGTGGCATGAGCCCTCTGGGACATGCAAGAATTGAGATGGTGCCTTGGGTGTCAAATGTGGTGAGCCCAAGTGTGGCAGGAGACCCTTGGGCCCTCCCTGGCCAGGACGGAGCCTCTAGAATCCTCCCAGGTTCTAGGCTTAGGTCTTGCCCAGAGCAGCTCTCGGCACTTGGGCACATCCAGGAATCCATCTGTCCCCCAACGTTGTCAGTGACTCGTGGGGGCAGGGTGCTCTTACCTCTGGGTTGGTAAACCAAGGCCTTGAAGTGCTATTCTGCTGGCTGGGCCCCGGCTTAGCAACATGGCCATAGTATGTCTGGCCCAACAACTTAGGGGCCCTAGTGCCAGGCGTTACAGGTACCCTAGTGGAGATGCAGACCACAGTGACCGAAGGGTTTGCCATTGGGCTAGGAACCATCTTCCCAGAGTGATGGTAGCTGGGTCAAGAGGGACATTCCTTCCTCCGCCTACCCAGGTCCCGACCTGGGGTTAGGTTGGCACGACACTCGGAAGTGGGATTTTCCACACTAGGAGTGCCAGATCTTGCATTGTAAGGGAAGGCTGGGTCTTACTCCTGACCCCAAGGGACTGGGTCTAAACAGATGAGACAAAGGATGGGAGGGGAAGAGAGCAGCCCAAGGTCGCTGGTGGAGCCAGGAAGTCACATGGCCTCCCTCAATGAGGCTTACAACTGAGGTGCAAAGCACTCTGGGTAGCAAAGATCCCAGGGGCAGGGTTATTTCTCAGTCATCTTGGCCAAACTCCAATCTGAGGTGTCCCAGGACTTGAGGGAAGTGGAATGTCTCAGTTGAAGACGGGTGACAATGAGCTAATGTTGCTGGTAAATAACTTTCCCCTTCCACCCCAGAGGTTGCTGCACTTCACTTCTAAAGTAGTCAGGATCCATCGGAGATGGAAAGGGCTGTGTAAATGCAAGACACAGCACAGCCCATGAACAGGGCACAAGTCTCCTGGCTCTGCCACTGACCCACTGAGTGACCTTGGGTGTGTCCCTTCCCCTCCACCACTTGTCTGGCTTGGCCATAAGCTCCAGGGCTACATATCTCCAGCACCTAGGGATGAGTCCCTCCTGGAACAGAGCCAGGTGCGTCCCACCCACTGTCCTGCATTCCTGTCCCTCGGATGCCCATGCCCCTCCTGCCGAGAGATGGTTTCAGGGCTGCTATCGAAAGGGAAGCCATGCTGTGGCCTCAACCTGGGAAACAACTTGCATGTGCAAGTGGCCTTTCCACAGACATCAGGACTGTGCCTCAGTGCTGAGAGGGGAAGGGATTGAGTGTCCTCACCCCAGTTGATAGGCCAGGTTAGACAGTTGAGGCGCCCAAGTCCTGGCACTGATGGTCATCTCCTCTCTTCCAGGCTCTTGTAACGACTCGGAGAGCAACGACGAGTCTATTCCGGAGCTGGAGGAGCCGGATGTCTCAGAACCCCGGACAGCTCAGACTCAGGTACAGGGCTGCCCAGGGAGAAGCCCACATGGCCTGCAGGTCCCAGTGCACGGGCTGGGCACAGTAAATGCCTGAATAATCAGCTCCCTGGGGGGCCCTTTGCTTTCCCAGCCCCCTGCCGGGAAAGGGGAGGCCTGTGGTACAGGGCTGCAGACAGGCCGAGCTCTAGAAACAACAGGCCCCGGGAGATGGTGGTGAAGCCCAAGTACCTGGCATCCAAGAAAGACAACCCCCAGTCCATGGCAAGGGGTTGTGAACAGATCTCCACATCAGGCCCACCCCAGCTATAGAACTAAATGGGAGGGAGAGTGTTGTATGGCTCCCTCTGCCTGGGTAAATCTGGCAGGTGAGGGGTGTGTGTGTGTGCCAGGGCTTACCAATGGGTGTTTTCACCACCCATTGGTATCTCAGCACCCTTCTGGAGCAAAGAGACCTTGGAAGATGGCCTCTGTAGCCCTGGAACTCCTCCTACAGCTCCTGGAGTTGCCAGGTGTCCCTGGACTGGGAGCTGTCCCTAGCTGTGCCCTGTGGTGACCTGGCTGCAGTATGCCCATCTCCCAATCCTTGTCTCTGGCCTTTGGGGCAGGAGCAGTGTCTGACAGTGCTGCAGTGTCCCCACCCATGGCAATGCAGAAGGACAATGAGCCACAGCCAGCTTCCTCCCCTCTCCCTCCAATGCTGTCCTGTTCCAGGAGAGGAGTATGTCCAGCGGGCAGTGTCCTCCCTTGTGAATCACTCCTTAGGGGTCCGGCTTGGATCAGCTGGACTGGGGAGATCCTGCTCTGCAGACTGTGCCCTGTCTCCATGGAGTGGGGCCAGGGGTGCAGGCAGAAACAGTGAAGTGAGGCAGGATCTGCGAGTGGGGCAGGCTCAGCTGGAGCCCGGCAGGGTGGTCTCTCCATGAAGGAGACACAGGCTCACTCTGATTCAGCTAGAGAACGGGGCTGCAGCTTCTCTCCTAGCACTACATGCAGACCTAATGGCCATCCTGCAGCAGGAGCAGCATCTGCCCCCTTGTGTGTGACGCAGCTGAACGGTCTCTACCCCCCCGGGCAGATGCCACCTCAGGGTGGGGCTCCAGACTAGTCTGGGTTCAGGGCTGGCTGCCAGGAGGAAAGCACCTGAAGAATGCTCTCCTGGTGAAATTCACAGCTGGAGGCTCAGACTGAGGACCAGCCAAGCAACCAGCCTAAGGCACCAGGCACATGCTTAGTGCTTTAGAGTGATTTGCAGCGGCATCAGGCACTCTGCAAACCCAGCACCCAACTCCCAGCTAACAGCAATGGGGGCAGGGCAGGGATAAGCTGCTGTAGCTTTCTTCCCATGGTGGCTTTAGACCTACCTCTCGGCAAGAGCCTTCCCGGAATGCACGAGACACACTGGGGTTACTGCGCCTGTCTCTGGGGAGGGGTGTAAGAAGGCAAATGACATTTGAGGCCATTCCTACCCACCCTGAGACGGGGGAGAACTTGGGATGCTGGCACAGGTGTCTGGTACGTTTGTATGGCACTCAGATCCCATGGGGACTGCGACACACACCCAGACAATCCAGGTCTAGTCTGAGTCTCTGGCTGTGGGGTAAATGAATTAATTTGTGCCTGTTTCCCCTGCTGGACACACCATCCAGGGGGCAACCGTTCGGGCCTAACCAGCCTGGCGCTCTGCTGAAGGGGCCATATTCTGGCACCACTCAGGCCTCCCCCATGCCAGTCAGGCTGTGGCTGGATGCACAGCTGTCCTGCCCCTGCGTGTGGCTCCAGTCTTCCCTCCAGACACCAGGATGTCGGGGAGCCACATTACAGGGCACTTGTGTCTTGCAGGCGCAGCTAACGCACTCGCTGAGCACCGGGGAGGAAACCATCAGCAAAGCCAAGCAGAGCCGGAGTGAGAAGAAAGCCAGAAAGGTCAGTGTGGCATGAGGGGAACATGGGGGTGCCACCCCTTGCTCGAGGGAAGGGGCCAGGTGAGCCAGCCCCTTGCCCCCAGGACCACAGAGAGCTGGTCTGGCTCCCTGGGTGAGCTCCTGCTGCGGTGCTCAGAGCAGCCGTCTGGTGCTGGAGTGGGAGAGGGAGGCCTCGGACTGCAGGCTCCTGGCAATGCCACGTCAGGTCTCTGGGCAGGACTCACCCGCTCTGCGCCAGGGCGGGGTCTCTAGTGGCAGGGGCTGGGAGTTGGTGGCTTTACCAGCCTGCTAACGGGGACAGGGCCCTGCTGGGGGCTGGAAGAGAAGGTGGAAGGTCTGACCCAGGCCAGGCCTGCATCCAACACCTGTTTCCATCTGCCTGGGCAGTGACTCGGGCTTGGAGCAGCCAATGCTGCGTCCAGTGCAGCAGCTCCTGCAGGGGGCTGCTGAATGGGCCAAAGAATGATCAAAACACAAACTGTGTGACCCTGGCTTCGAGTGACACCTTAATCCTCAAACCGCCCAGCGCGCAAGAGCCCCTCGGGGCACAGCTAGTCCCACTCCATCTGCGGGGCAACACTGGAGGGACAGAAGGCGGCTCAGCGGGGACGCCAGCTGCCAAGGGGAAGGCTGAGGCTGGGTGGAGAGTGATGGGGAGCACGCATGTGGGGAGCCTTTGAACACAAGGCCGGGCCCTGGAGCCGGATGGCGAGCAGGGGCCTCTTGGAGTGGGAACACTGTCCCACCCCTTCAGCTGTGTGATGGCACAAGGGGCTGCAGAAACAGGGAGCCCCTTGTGGCTGAGATGAGACCCAGGCTGGCTGACTCACCACAGGTGTAAGGGGGGATTAGGGGCTGGATAAGCCTATCTGTGTTCGTCACTGGCTCTGGAGATTAGCCTTGATTAAAGCACCTCTGACCTGGGGCAGGTCTCCAGGCAGCTCACAGGTCTCTGCGGCATGGGGCTTTGCTGGGTCTGCCCAGGATTGTCTGGGTTGCCTCTGGCACCATTCCCCAGGGACAGGACAGCTCAGGATGCCCCTGGAGCTACCCACAGCTGGAGAGCGCACAGGGGTCAGGGTGGAGGCAGTGAGGGGTGGGCTGTGCTCCCAAGGAGCCTGTGGACTCCCAGAGCTCTGGCTTGTGATGCAAGGCCAGGCCTGTCATCTCTGCAGCCCCCTGCCCCGTCCATGCAGAGGCTGGGCTCACAGCCCAAACCCAGGTCCCCTCTGGCAGTGCCTACTTGCATCAGACCCTGGGCCAATCCCAGGGAGGATCTGGGGGGTGGAGCATGTGTCTGGGGGTGGCTCCAGTGTAACACCTGGTACAACCGCTTGTGTGTCCTGTCCGCACAGAGCCCCATCAGAGAAGCTGCCCAATTAGCCCTGTCCTGCTGTCCCCAGACTCCTTGGGGCTGGGTGGGAGTCAGGGCTAACCTACCACTGTGCACAGAAAGGCCCTTGACAGTCTGGATGGTTGGTCTTGCTGGACAGGGAGCTTCCCAATGCCACATCACAGCAACTAGGGATAGGGAACGCTCACCAGGCTGCCCAGCCCTTCTCCTGGCCAGGGCAGGGTCACACCTACTTCTCCCCAGCCTCTGCTTCCAAACACTGGCTTGTAAAATCCCTGGTGGTGCAAGGAAGTGGCACCAGATGTAATGCAAGTCTCAGAGGGTGGGTTCTCTGGAAGGGCAGAGCTTGCATGGGAAATGGAGAAACACCCTGTGACTGTTAGCAGTGGGTGTCTCCTGCCACCCATCAACAGCCCATTCCAGCACAACATCCCCTGCTCCTGGTCTGTGTGAGATTCGAGTCTGGCATCTCCAAGGAGCAGAACCAGGAATGGGCCAGCAGGCGCTGCCCATGGATGCCCCAGGCCTGTGCTGTTCCAGGCAACACAGCCCACACTCTGAGATGGAGGCCATCCAGCATCCCTGGAGACCCAGCTGATCAGAGACAAACTAATGGCCAGTCAGCCGTGGTGATTGTCCTGGCATCAGCACTTCCACTGCGCCAGCCAAAGACCTCCGACAGGTCACCGCACAAAGGCCAAAGGCCAATCCCGTGCCTTTGTCCGTGAGGCTTTGTTCCAGGGTCCCCGTTCCATCGCTCCAGCTGCAGTGGCTGGTGCTGCCTGAGGCCGCTGTAACATGTCCATCCGTCTTCCCTGTAGGCCATGTCCAAGCTGGGGCTGCGTCAGATTCACGGCGTCACCAGGATCACGATCCGGAAGTCCAAGAACATCCTGTTTGTGATCACCAAGCCAGATGTGTTCAAGAGCCCAGCTTCTGACATCTACATCGTGTTTGGAGAGGCCAAGGTGAGGCTCTGCAGAGCTGGGGGCACCCCGACCCCTCTACTGTATGTGTCCTAGATGCCCTGCTGTATTTCACCTGCTCCCCGCACACCATGGCCCAGAGCTAGTCACTTACCTAGGCAGGCAAATCCTGGATTCCAGCTGGTGAGTGACCCCCATGAGCTGCTGCTCAGGTCCTGCGGCGAGGCCTGGAATCTGACTAGCTCTTGCTGGCCAGAGTCTAGTGCCTGGCGTAAATGGGAGCCCCACTAGCCTCTGTTCAGGGCTTGGCACTAGCCTGGCCATCAGTTGCTCACTCCCATGCCCCATCCCCGATGGGGCTGTTCTCCAGGGGGGACCGAGGCTGAACTCAGAGCTGTAAAGAAGGGAAACTGGGTCAGCAGGGTCGCTCACTAGAACAGTGCATTGCTTAGACCACCCATGGGGCAGGGACTCCCCCTCCTCTAGGAGACAAGTCTGGACACAGGAGTGTCTTCCTGCTGTGACCCCCTCTTCCCCCCCCCATCCTGAACAACTCTTCTCTCCTTGCCTGATCTGCACCATGGGGTTCCTGCCCACCCTTGCTCCTGGGGGCACCGTTCCCTGTGACATACCCTCCTCCGTGTCCTTGGAGCTGGAGGCAGGAGGGCCGTCTCATCTATTTCAGACAGGTTCCCCTGCTCTCTCCACCCAGCCCCTGGTGTGGCTGGCAAATCACAAGCCTGCTCCCTGGAGTCACAGCAGGGACTCCCCAGTGGGCAGCATCTCCAACGGCCTCCCACGCTAACCACTGCCCCCCGTCTCGGGTCTGTCCCGGCAGATCGAAGACCTGTCGCAGCAGGTGCACAAGGCGGCTGCGGAGAAGTTCAAGGTGCCGATGGAGCACTCTCCTTTGATCACGGAAACAGCCCCGGCCCTCACTATCAAGGAGGAGAGTGAGGAAGAGGAGGAGGTAAGGCCTGGAGGAAGGAAGCTGGGGGCAGTAGCAGTCTGGTTCCACACGACCTGGGCACTGGCTTCAGTGCTGCGAGTCAGGTTGGGGGTGGAGGGCAGAAGAGATTTCGCTGATACCTCACCCCTCTCCAGGGCCCAAGGCCCTCCAGCGTAGCCCGTACAGCGGAGCTCCTGGGCCTTCCCTTGGGAAGGAGACTGCTGCAGCGCTGCTCACTGTCAGTCTGCTGTCTGGTCCTGGACTCCGCCCCCATCCCTAGTGGCCTGTGGTGAGCTGCTGAGCTGGCCCTGTGCTGGGAGGCTGAGGTTAGGAGGAGATGTGAACCAGCCCCAAGGCAGAGAACTCTGTCCATCTCTTGGTTGTATTCAGGGGTGCCTAGCCCCCTGAGCCCCTGGGTCTGAGCTCGGGTGGCTAGGCCAGGCCTGGAGACTCGTTCGGCCAGCCAGATGCTGTCTGTGCACTACGGTCTATCCTTCGCCCTGCCTGGGTGCTGGAAGCTACCCAAGTTTACTAGGTAGCCAGCTGGGGTGAGGACCACTTCTTTAGAACAGCAGGGGGAGAAAATAGTCCAGTCTCTGCCTGGGGGGGAACAGACCTAACTGGTCAGCGCAGACAGATGCATTGTCAGGGGTCAATGGGAAGCAGGCAGGATGCCACACCAGCCACTAGAGAGCAGCACTGAGTGCCATAGTGGACCCCAGGGTATAAAGACCAGATTCTCTTCTCTTGAGAGAAGATCTCTCCCCTACTGAGCTACCGGAGAACTCGCATCCGTTAGCCCAAGTCTGCCTGCTGCCTCCAAGACAGCTGCGTAGCTGTGCCTCAGGACAGGACTGGAGGCAGAAAGGTGGCCGAGGAGTGGGCTCAGCTGGCTTGGTCCGGCTTGAGGATACAGACCTGGGCAATGGCCAACCCTTGTCCAGGGCAGATCTGTACAAGTGACCAGCAGGATGAAGTGGTAATAATCCTGCCTTCGGAGAAATTCCTCAGCTCCCCTTCCCAATGCATTCCAGTGCTGGGGGTGTGTGAGCAGGGTCTGGGGGTGGCCCTGGGCAAGGGGGCACTGCTATAAGATAGACTCCCAGCAGTGCCCCCTCCCTGTCTGGAGCGTGACTATTTCCTCCTCCCCTCCCCAGGTTGATGAGACCGGCCTGGAGGTGAGAGATATTGAGCTGGTGATGGCCCAGGCCAACGTGTCGCGTCCCAAAGCCGTGCGGGCACTCAGGCACAACAACAATGATATCGTCAACGCCATCATGGTAAGAGCCCAGGGCCCAGGCTGTGCCTGGCCGCCCGCCATGAGATCCTGCCCTGCTGGTGGGGACACGGTCGCAGACTAGTCTCCATCAGGGGAAGTGATGCCCTAACTTCAGTGGGGGAAACTGAGGCTGAGAGCAGCACATGCTCCAAGGAGGGAGTAGCTGGCCAAGCCAGGATTAGAACTTTGCACCTCTTGGCTCTCAGTGCTGTGCTTGAGCTACTAGACCTCCCCTGCCTGGAGAAGCTCTGCTCCTGAGCAGAAGGCTTGTAGGGGGAGGTACTTCCAAGGCAAGGCCAAGATCTGATGGATACAGCTGCACCAGGGGCCCTTTCACCTCCCAGCCAGGCTTTGTCCTGCGCAACAATACTGAAAACAGGTGACTTAAAGCATAAAAGCACTAAGCAAGGGCCTTCCTGTAGCAATGCAAGGGAAAACCCCTTGCGCTCCACTCCTTGTACTCTGCAGTCCCCATCCAACCCTCTGCTCTCTCCTACAGGAGCTGACCATGTAGCTGCTGGCCCGGATGTGCAAACAGACCCACCCCTCTGTATAGATGCACAGTTACTCCTATACAGTACAGCTGGTATTAAATACTCTCTAGAACTGCAAATATTCCTACTAGTCTGCATCTCTAATGCTGCTCAATAAAATGGCCTCATGTATTCACTTGAAACGCACACTGGTTTGGTCTCCTTCCTTCTCCTTCAATCTAGGTCACCCAGGAGCAGGCAGCTCCTGGTTCAGACAGGGTAGGGGCAGGGCTGCAGGGCCCCTGTGTCTGACGCTCCAGTTCAGCTTGGTGGAAGCTGAAAAGGAGGGCAGGGCCTGTCTACGCTGCAGCTGGGACCAGTCCTCCCAATCTGGCAAGAGGGGCAGGTGCTAATTCTTCTCAAGCTAGAATGGCAGAGTGGATGCTGTGGCCTGGCCTAGCCCCCTGAGCTCAGACCCAGGGGCTTGGGGAGGCTTGTAGTCGGGGGGCTAAGCCCCCCTTCTGCCATGGCCACGCGGGTTTGAGGCACTGGCATGTCTCTCCCTGGGCTGCAGGGTGGATATCCCTGGCTAGCTCTGCTGAGTGCTGATAGAACTGGGCTGAGCTTCTAGAATATCCGAGTTGGAAGGGACCTCAGGAGGTCATCTAGTCCAACCCCCTGCTCAAAGCAGGGCCAATCCCCAACTAAATCATCCCAGCCAGGGCTTTGTCAAGCCGGGCCTTAAACCTCTAAGGAAGGAGATTCCACCACCTCCCTAGGGAACCCATTCCAGTGCTTCCCCACCCTCCTAGTGAAATAGTGTTTCCTAATATCCAACCTAGACCTCTCCTCACTGCAACTTGAGACCATTACTCCTTGTTCTGTCTTCTGCTACCCCTGAGAAGAGCCAAGCTCCATCCTCATTGGGGAACCCCCCTTCAGGTAGTTAAGGCTGTTATCAAATCTCCCCCTCACTCTTCTCTTCTGCAGACTAAGTCCAGTTCCCTCAGCCTCCACTCAAAAGTCATGTGCCCCAGCCCCCTAATCATTTTTGTTGTCCTTCACTGGACTCTCTGATTTGTCCACATCCTTTCTGGAGTGGGGGGGCCAAAACTGGTTATCACATACTCCAGATGTGGCCTCACCAGTGCCTAATAGAGGGGAATAATCACTTTCCACAATCTGCTGGCAACGCTCCTACTAATGCAGCCCACTATGCTGTTAGCCTTCTTGGCAACAAGGGCACACTGCTGACTCATATCCAGCTTCTCGTCCACTGTAATCCCCAGGTCCTTTTCTGCAGAACTGCTGCTTAGCCAGTCGGGCCCCAGTCTGTAGCAGTGCATGGGATTCTTCCATCTTAAGTGCAGGACTCTGCACTTGTCCTTGTTGAACCCCATCAGATTTCTTTTGGCCCAATCCTCCAATTTGTCTAGGTCACATTGGATCCTAGCCCTACCCTCCAGCATATCTACCTCCCCCACACACATCTTAGTGTCATCCACAAACTTGCTGAGGGTGCAGTCCATCCCATCATCCAGATCATAATGAAGATGTTGAACAAAACCAGTCCCAGGACCAACCCCTGGGGCACTCTGCTTGATGCCAGCTGCCAACTAGCCATCAAGCCGTTGATCACTACCTGTTGAGCCTGACAATCCAGCCAGCTTTCTATTCACCTTGTAGTCCATTCATCCAATCCATACTTCTTTTAACTTGCTGGCAAGAATACTGTGGGAGACTGTATGAAAAGCTTTGCTTAAGTCAAGATATATCATGTCCACTGCTTTCCCCATATCTAGAGCCAGTTATCTCAATCAGGTTGGTCAGGCATGACTTGCGCTTAGTGAATCGATTAACTATTTCTGAGCACCTTCCTCTCCTCCAAGTGCTTCAAAATGGATTCCTTTAGGACCTACTCCATGGCTTTTCCAGGGACTGAGGTGAGGCTGACAGGTCTGTAGCTTCCCTAGATTTTTTTTTTTTTTTTTTTTTTTTAAAAGATGGGCACTATATTTGCCTTTTTCCAATTGTCCAGGGCCTCCCCGATCACGAGTTTACAAAATAATGGCCAATGGCTCTGCAATCACATCAGCCACCTTCCCTTCCCAGCTAAGGGAGAGGCTTCACCCCCTTGGCCTCAGCCAGTGCCCATGGGTGGGGTAGGGTTGCCAACTTTCTAATCACAAAACCAAATGCCCCTGCCCTGCCCTGCCCCTTCTCCAAGGCCCTGCCCTCACTTGCTTTTAGCAAGCTGAGGCAGGGTGGGTGGGGTGCAGACTTTGGGGTGGGGCCAGGGATGAGGGGTTTGGGGTGCAGGAGGGGGCTCAGGGTTGGGGTGCAGGAAGAGATGAGGGCTCCAGTTGGGGATGAGGCTTTTGGGTGTGGGAGAGGACTCTGGGCTGGGGCAGGGAGTTGCAGGGGGGTTGGAGTGTGGGGTTGCAGCAGCACTTACTGCAGCTCCTGCAAAGCAGCCACAAGGTCCCTGCAGCCCCATGGCACATGGGGGGCCAGGGAGGCTCTAGGTGCTGCCCCTGCAGCTCCCATTGCTCAAAGTCCCTGGCCAATGTGAGCAGCAGAGCCAGCCCCTGGGGCAGGGGCAGGGCCAGGGCATGGAGCCTCCCTGGCTGCCTAGGGGGCTGCAGGGACCTGGCAGCAGTTTCTGGGAGCCTGCCTTAGCCCCAGGCCCCTACTACACCGCCAACCACACTTTTAATGGCCCAGTTGGCAGTGCCGACTGGACCCACCAGGGTCCCTTTTAGGCTAGGTGTTCCAGATGCCTGGCAACCCTAGGGTGGGTAGAATGTGTGCAGGGGGGGCTTCAGCCATAGAGCACTTAAGACAACTCAGTGTCTGCAGATGACGGGGAGGGACTAACCCAGGGGCAGCGTGGGGAAATCACAATACCCTAACTCCACGGGGCTAATCTAGGGATATCGCTGCCCTACAGAGAAGGGGGTCTCTTCATGATGCTGGGCCCTCATCCCCAGTTCAGTAGGGTTGCCAATCCTCCTGGTTTTGCAAAGAGTCTCCCAGAATGGGGCTTTATCTCCTGGAGGCTACAGAAGCCAATCCAGGCGCAGCAGGGCTGAGGCAGGCTCCCTGCCTTCATGCCATCTGGGGAAGTGGCCTGCAGCCCCTGGGGAGAGGGGCAGAGGGGTCTTCACATGCTGTCCCTGCCAGCAAGCACCACCCTTGCAGTTCCCATTGGCCAGGAACTGCCAGGGATGTGCTGGCTACTTCTGCAAGCAGTGCAGGGCCAGGGCAGGCAGGGAGCCTGCCTTAGCCCCCCTGCACCACTGACTGGGAGCTGCCAAAGGTAAGCGCTGCCTGGCCAGAGCCTGCACCACTCACCCCCTGCCCCAGCTCTGAGCCCCCTCCTAAAGCCAGCACCCCAAACCCCTGCCCCAGCCCTGAGCCCCCTCCCACACCCAAACTCCCTCCCAGAGCTTGCACCCCACACCCTCTCCTGTACCCCCTGCCCCAAGGTCAGCCAAGAGCCGGGTGAGAGTGAGTGAGGGGAGGGGATGGCGTGAGGGGGACAGGGCCTTGGAGAAGGGGTGGGGGCAGGGCAAGGGTGTTTGGAGTTATGATATTAGACAGTTGGCAACCCCACAGGTCAGTAGCAAGGTGGAGCCAGCCCTCAGCAATGATGACAAGGCTGAGCACAGGGCCCCAGGCCAGGGTGGGATCCGGTTTAAAGGCCACAGCGACTAGGACAGCTTCCCCTCTCCACAGTCACAGGGACTTCTCCTCTCCCCCATGGCCCCTGCAGTGAGCTGGGTCCTCTACGCAGGGGCCTGCAGGCCTAGTAGCTGGATGCAGGCCCAGTAGAGCTGTACAGGGACGTCAATGAGCTGTAACCTGGTTGAAGCTCCCAGCTGCGGGGCCCTCACACCTAGAGTTGTGTCCTCCCCCCCGCCTCCTTGCCAGAGTTCTAGTATAAATCTTCCTCCAGGGAAGGGAGTACAAGTGAGAACTGAACAGACATGGGGGCAGTAGCTGGGCTTGCTCTATCTCCACTGCCTGCTAGCTGGGGCTCATAGAACCCAGCAGCTGACTCCAGAATTCTTCCCCTCCCCTGGCTCAGGAGCTGCTCCATGGTGCAAGGAGGACTTCTTCACAAAAAGAGAGCTGGCAGGCTCACCCCCTGCCTCAGGCAACAACTAGGGAGGAGGCAGCCCTATGCGGTGTGGCAGATGCCACCCCCCACCTTCCCCTGCTGACACTGGGTCCCAAGAGCCCAGTAGAGCTACAGGGGTACATGAAGGACACTAGCCCATGGTGCTCGTGCTTTGGGGCAGCCCAGAGCTGCCCTCTGCAGTTGAGGCTTGTTTCTAATTTCACCCCACTCACACCCATGCTTAACTAGCTGAGTTCTTCTACCCCTCACCTGGCATTGCCCCCCTACCCCATACCAGCCCCTAGGGGCTTGTACCTCCAGAGCACTGTAGGAAGTAGCTCTGCTGTAGCAGTTTTCTGCTCCCAGGGTCAGGATCATTATCCCCAGTTATAGGTGGGGAAACTGAGGCACAGGGGTGCCTTACCCAAAGCTACCCCCCAGGCCAGTGGTAGAGCTGTGAGTGAACCCAGGTCTGAGTCCCAGTCTAGTGCTCTATCCCCCAGGCCACACTGCCTCATGTGCCAGTTCCCATCTCGAGCCCCAAGTAAGTAAACTGGCAATCTGCTCTCCCATGGGTTTGTGGCTGCGCTCAGCCCCCTGCCCCCTGGATCAGGCTGGCTGTGGTTTTTTGAAGGCCTGAAAGTTTGTTTAGTTGCAAAAACAGCTTTTTCTGCAGCTCAGAGAGATGAAAGGCTTTTTGGGGTGGGTGGGTGCTGACTCCACACTCCTCAGAACTGCTGAGCCTGCCATTGCCAGTAGAGGCCACGCCAGGGGCAGGGGGAACGTGCCTGCTCTAGGTTCTTCCCCCGCCGCCGTCTTCTCCACCACATTGCAGACAAGAGTTGGGCATTTTTTAAAAACAAAAATAATTTTCTAACCTGTTGAAACTAAAAGGGTTGGTTCTGAAGAATTTTGTGACAAAGTTTTGAGATGGTCAAAAATCCCCTTTCTATTTTTATACTTTCAAAATTAAATCTTGGGGTTTTTTTTCCTGACTTGAGAACTTTTTGCTTCAAAATTAAAGCTAATTATGGTAATTCTCCCCCCCCCCGCCCCTTTTTAAAAGTAATAGTTAAAATCAAAA